AAGCTGCAGTCTACCCAGGATGAGAACAACTTTTGAGAAAGCAAGGCTATGTGAAATTCAATAGAAACGTCAGTTCAACTCATATCATTGTGGGAAAATTCTACTACCAGTCCTTCATCACCTTAGACGAAATAGAGTGAATAAATCTCATTACACTGATTTACTGGTAGTCTCGAAACCCTACTTTCATACAAACTACTATATCTTTCATCTTGCTAGTCTTAGCTTTACTGCATAATTTATTCATAAAGAATAACTGGGTTTCGATAAATCTCCTGGGATAACGTTATTGTTGGGACTTTCATTTCGGAATAAAGTGTATAAAGAAGAGATTTTTAGGCTGATCTTACCAGAAGAGGACGGTTGAATCGCGTTGCACTGTAGCTGTTTAGTTTTTATACGATTTTGAGATTGACGTAATTTACGAGACCTCCTCCCTCGTTTCTGGTGATAACGAGCTGAGTTCTTGTCCATCATATGATGCACATCATCAGAGCTGGGACTCATTCTTGTAAAATTCTCATTTTAACACGATTGACGCGATTTAACCGTCCTCTTATGGTGTGATCATCCTACGAATTTCTTCTCCATACACTTTCATACGAAATGAAAGTTGCAACAATAATATGTCTACCCACTTAATTCTATGGTTGTACTTTTTGGAGACAGTTATTCCGTGATGCCGTCGACCCATCAGGTTGCCTAGAGTTGTTTGAATCGTCTCTACGCATCCAGGATCAAAAGCTGCCTCGTCAATCTTCCTTAGCTGGCACTGGCCTCTCTTCATTCATCCCGTCCTCTTGTTTACCACCAGAGCGCCAACCATGGCACACTATGGAGACTGCTTGTCGGTTGGAGTTCGAGCTGAAGTCGGATCTGCAGGGTCTAGTTAAATGTCTATATGGAGGTGGTAAGTTTTTTTTTAATTTGTTTGTTTCACTTAATATACATTCTTGTCTCTCCTGCTGCATGATTGGACTCCTGAACAACCCTGGAAGTCCAATTCTTCTGAAGGCCTGAAAATATTAAGAAATTCGTATGCCAGTAAGCGACAGGTTTACAAGGAAGGGTCGTTTAGTCCCATAGGCTTTGTTGCTCTTTGGTGAATAGAACAGAAATAAAAACTATTTCTGTATGTCCTAGGAGATCGGCAATTCATATTCAGTTGGATTAGAGCACGAGGGAATTGAGACGTTTGGACGATACCACATGAACTAAAAATGGTTGTTTAGCCAACTAGACGAATTCAGATGCTTGTGGCTCGCATCGCACTCAAAATTTCTGGATTTAAGGGGAAAATTCAGGCGGATGATAATGCTAAATCGGAAAGATGAAAGCCAATTACATTTAGTCCGTGCATAATGTAATAAGATATATGCTTAAATAGAAAGGCCAGGCCGCATCTATGTTTATGACTTCCAATAAAGAAGATGAACCAATCAAAGACGAAGTCCACATCACTAACACTACGGGAAGAGAACCTGAATAGTTAAGCTATACTAAGATATGAAGAGGAGCTGGGTTTTGAAGAATATCTTACTAGATTGATGCTGGCATCCATTTCATTTAGTTTGAAAAGGCTGATAGTTTAAGAGTCATTATGACGGACAAAGGCATAGCACGGCCAGTTGGTCGAGGTTTTTTTTCGCATAATTCAACAGTCACAAGTCTTATATCCGATATGGCCAATTTGCAGATTCTTTTCTTCCGCCTTTTGAAACTAAATAAATGGCATGCCAACACTATGCTTTACTAATCCACCATTAGTACTTCTTAACCCACTTATCTTCCCTTGTTGGATCGCTTAATGTATTTAACCACCATCTATGTCAAACTCATTGGCACCTTTTATTTTCAGCTTCGGCTTATGTCTAGTTTTCTTGAACTATTTCAGCTCATCACACTGACAAGTTGGGAGAATATGGATAGGGTTTTCCTTAATGTTGCTAAGTTGCCTCACCAGCTATTTTCAATTCAGGCCTAATACTGATGGACTCCACATGTATAATAGCTTAATGGTTGATAAATGCTTTCCGCCTTGAATTTTGTATAAGAAATCTACAATTAAGTATCTTGTGCTTTTCGTAACTTCCACCTTTCTGATCCATAAGGCAATCTTCCAAGGGAAGTGGTTATGTACACCAAACAGACATGCTTCTATTACATCAGAATCTTTTCAGAAAGCTGCGTACGGATTTATTTACCGATCGGATTCTTGTTTTATATTGCTCAAAGGTTGTTAGAGGGTATCGTAAATTACTTTCATTATTTGTACAACTCATTTTTTGATGTTTTTTTTATTAACTGTACTGCAATTACAAAGTAGGTATTAATGCTTTAAGGTGAACTTTTTAGTACTCCTTTATTACGGTTGCCACGTTTTGCAAAATGAATTATAAATTTAAAAATGAATCAATTTATAAGCCTATTCCTTCTTGTCTCCTCCAATTTCTATTTTATCTATCTATCAGCCGTCGAGTTTCGCTGGGTCCCAGCCTACTTTCCGTTCACCCACCCGTCCTGGGAGCTAGAGATCCGAAAACTTACGTCAGCTGATTCAGGTACTTTGTCTTCTACTCCCACATCTTCTGATAGCAATGAGTTTGTTGCTCCGAATGAGGACGATTGGATCGAGGTACTCGGCTGTGGGCTAATGCGTCAGGAGATTCTCGAAAATGGTCAGTCTACCAATCCACCTGAATTGTTTATAATTTTAGCATAGAATTTGCTGGCTAATTTCTATCTTCCTATTACTTATCTACAACTCATATTAGCTTACCTCAGCTAGCACACTCAGGTACCCTTTTTCCACTGTCCGTCTATTTCTTGCTCGTCCATACAACTTCTATGTACCGATTGATTCATACTGATATCGATTATGAATAAGAAGCCATGCACACATTTAAGAAAAACTTAAATTTAATTGTAAAAGCGATAAATTGAGGCGGAACTATCAGTCAATCCTTACTTTGTTGTTATGTCGATTAGTAGTTGCTAACGTTTTTATTTACGAGACAGTGTTGTACTCGTTTATTTCAACCTAATAGGCAGGATGGGTATGTTTTTTCGACTTACTTAGCCCAATCGAATTTTCAATAGTGACCTACTCTCTTGTGTAAATTGGTTATTTTGATTTTGCGTAAACAAGCTTTTCTTACTTCCTCGTACTCCACCAGACTGCACGATCACTAGTCAGAGTGCTCCATTGGCTCACATATACGTTCATATTACTCAAATTACCTAGTAACAGATACTCCAATCACGGAGGCTTGTGCCAAACCCTTATACTCCATGGGAGCTTGCAAATGATGGAGATCTCATTCAGTCATTCCATCCATCCAGAGGCTTTAAAGCCTATGTTCTCCTATATACTATTGGAATAGATAGATTATTTTATCCATATCTATATTATCTTCCTCGAAGTATTTATGTGCAAGCTTCTCAGCTTGTTACGATAGGAGATCAACGCGGGAGTCCAGTGCGAGTGAGAAAGTACATTTGGGAAAAGAATTTAGTGAAATATTTCTGATTACTCAATCCATTCCTTTAATAAATTCCGAACATCTTTGTTAAATTGGAGTAGTAGTGATAAATTATCACCTTGGAATATCGATAACTTCAATTTACTACTTCCAGCAATTATCTTTTATCCTCTTGCGATTGAATCACTCTTGGCGACTTATGTCAGAAAGCCGACAGTCGGCTATCATAAAAGCACATTAAATAAGTGAATGATCGTGATCAAGAAGAGGTAAAACCAATCCCAGTGAATATTGAATAATAACATTGGAAAATAACGTAATTACTGTGTGCTAAATGAATATAGTTCTCGTTTGGTCGATTTGTTCTTATTATAGATTCGGGTTAAGAGTCCGTTTGCTAGCCTAATATTTTATTTTGGGTCTTTATTTTTGATTTCTCCAAAGTGAGAAGATACTTTTTATGGCATTATCTTACTGGAATTTGAGAAAAAACGTTAGCTTTGACGGCTTAAATAAACGAAAAAATTTCTACGCCCTTAGTGATACTGATCTCATTTAAATTATAAATGCACAAATACTATGGAAAGTAAGTAAGTTTTCGAGACCATCAGTAAATCAGACATATATGATGCGCCCACCCTA